GGGCTGCTGCTGGAGGAAAGAGTGTTTAATGAAAGAGCAACTTTCAGCCTGTTTCAAATGGAATATTTCCGAAATGTGTTAAACTTAAATCGGAAAGCATGAAATTCACTTTGTTATTTTGTCTACTTTAAAGTAACAACACCCTGCTACTTAGCGGTATTGCCATGACAATACGATGCTAACACATGCTAACTCTCAGTGTCCAACAGAATAACCTTGGCCCTATTGTGTTATTAGGCGCTTTCACACCGGAGTACTTTTCCCAGGAATAGTTCCGATAGTTCCTGGGATTTTGCGTTCACACCAAAAAGATCTGGAACTAGAACTTTTTTGCGCACCTTTTCACCCCTTTTCAGTCACTGCTGGAGAGCAGGGACTTTCCTTTGGAGAAAAAGGTTCCAATTTCTGATTGGCTGGGCGAATTGCAAACCAGAACTCGTAAAACTCTGAAACATTTTTATGAAGCCGCCATTTTATTTGCTCGCATGAGCATTATTAGCATTAGCATTAGCCCAGCGCACCAACGGAGAGAAACTAACTTATGGCAACACAAAAGAAAACATGGGAGCGGTGGAGTAATGAGGAGGCGCTTCTGGCGATTTACTCTACTGTGGGTTTTTTGAGACTCCCCTTTCGGTCACCCGATTCGTACTTGTCATTTTTTCTATCTATAGCCAATCAGATGTCTCCTCCATTCTAAGCCAATCACATGAGCGTGCCCCCACGAGGGTATGATTTCTTGCGTTCATGATGTAGCGCTTCATTTACACATTTTGCGCTGTCCAAAACCCACGAATGCACAGCGATCCATGCACAGAAAGCGGTTTGTGTTTGCAGGTTCAGCGATTTAAACAGAAAACAAATGTGTGGCTCAAAAATACATATGTAAAACTTTTTTCTGTATTTGGATTTTATTTACATGTATATGAAACGGAACACATTTGTGTGTGCATTGATAAACACAAGTGTGAATCCTTTTGCGGATCATAAAATACAAGTGTGAATCGTTCTGTGTGCATTTGTGTAATATGAGACTGATCTAAGCCCATAGTTATAACGTTTTTTAAATGTGATGTGTTCTATTAGTTTGGACTGAGTTTTCATTCACGCTGGGGTGGTATGATCTGCAACACATATGGAAGATAATCAGATTTTCTCTAAAGCTCATTGTGTTCGCATCAACCCAAGCTGTCATCTGAACCGTGTAACAGATATCTGAAAGCCAGTTGTAGTGGGAAATATCATGATGTCATCAGTCCCCTTGTGTTCTGTGTGCACAATGGTGCATGATATTATGAGGACTCTGGAGCTAAGTTCAAGTTTTGAGCCTGAACTTTGAAAAATACAATAGGTAAAGGTAAGTATTTGAAAGGTTTTTTCAAGTTCGGTATATTTATACGTTTCTGTTTTCAAAATACCAAACAGATCATGCATTTTAGCCATGCCTCATTTCGCTCTATGTCCTGTTTGCTGTCTACGGGTCTGATTCTGCTGACCACGCCCCCCTGCAGGAGAGGTGAGCCGTGCTCTGATCAGCTGCTGGGCTGTCAGAAGAGGGGGAGAAAAAGAGATCTCTGTCCTCCGTGTTTTATTATATAGAGTCGTTATTCATTTGTTTTAAAGCTCAATCAATTTAGAAGAATAAAGATTTAAACTTTAACGGACATCTTGACCGGCGAAAGAAACTGAAACTGAAACTCTGCCGCATGGTCCCCTTGTTCCTTGGAAGAGGCGGAGAGGTGGGTGTTTGTCATCTGCTGGTGGACTAACCGGAGAGAATTACAGTGCTTGCCTCGACGGAGAGGGATTGCATTGAATTAAAGCAGCGGGAGCAAACGCTTGCCTCGGGGAGGGAGAAAAAAAGCCACAGCGGAGAATAAACGGAAGGGTAACTATGGGCGGGAAGTCTTCTTCGCTGCTTTTGTGGCAGACTACAGCGCCACTTACAGGCCTGGCATATGTACTACAGCGTCTCCAGCGCTTTCGAGCGGCAATGGCCGGCCGTGGCCCAACCCCACATTCCCCTGATAGGTGGAGAGTTGGCCCAATAGCCGTAGCGCCACTTCTGTGACGTCATAGAAGTGTTCAAATCTGGATCAGTCTGTATCAGATCCGTTGCAGCCCCTTTTTTAGAGATTTGGGTATGGAGGAAAATAGAGAGGGTTGTGTTTTCTGACACTTGGTGAGTTCCCTGGAACACCGGGGACACATATTCATGTATAAAAGACGTACAAAAGTGCATTTTGCATGATAGGTCCCCTTTAAATAAATGTTAGTAATTGTATTATTTATTTTCATATTTCACATTTATATATATTTTGATATTTGGGTCCTTTTTTTCTTTTGCAGATTTTAATTTTTTGATTTAGCTCCATAGGACACACAATTAGCCACTTGGAAAATGTGCACATCTTAACAATGCTGCAGTATGATACACTAAAGTTTAGTGTATCATACTGCAGCATTGTTAAGAGTAACAGTACAGAAATGTAGTCATTAGACGCTTTCACACCCGAGTACTTTTCCCAGGATAGTTCCGAAAATGTGCATTCACACCAAAAAAATCCGGAACTAGAACTTAGTTCATGAGAACCTTTTCACCCCCTTTTCAGTCCCTGCTAGAGAGCAGGTACTTTCATGGAAGAAAAAGGTTCCCATTTCTGATTGGCTGGGCGGAAGACTCCCAGCTGCTTCTACTGAAGCCAGTCCCAAACTCCGGGGACTTCCGGCCGGGGACTTCGGGTGGCAGTATACGCCGTGAAGTTGTTTGCGGCCTGCCAGTAAACCCAAAGCAGAAGAAGAAGAAGTGACGTCAGCGGCTTCATTTGCCTAATCCTCCCTCGGGGACTTATTCCGGTGTGAATGCGATCTGCTCTTTAGTTCATCAGAACTAAAGAGTTCTGAACTAAAGAGTTCTGATGAACTAAGTTCTGATGAACTAAGTTCTGATGAACTAAGTACTTGGTGTGTAAGCGCCTAATGGTTTTGCAGTTGGGGTCATATTACATGAAATAAGAGTCAAGGCTCATGCCAAAACTGTAAAGGAAACAACTCTCAAAGATGAGCCCTTTGAAGTTCTCCAAAAATGTAGATATTTTGTGACTGTTTTACTGATATGTCCATTGGGATTGGCTGGAAGGACAAATAATTACAGAAAACAATAAATCAATATCTTTAAATTAATTATGGTACTCCCCCAAATCCAGTCTGTATAATCCATTAATTCAATTTTCTATCAATGTGGTTAAATCTGTACAAAGGAGGCTAGGCATCACTGGTATTTCCCTCCCTTCATGCCCATTATGGAAAAATCCAATATTCACAGCGGGCGGTAACCCATTGAATAATATACATATGCAAGCACATGACATACAACACATTGGGCAAATAGTAAAAAACAATATCATAATTCCGTTCACAGTGTTGATGGAAGATTTTAATCTGAATAAATCCCTCTTCTTCTCCAATGCAATTACAATCAAATATTAAAAACTTAACATCAAAAGGTATAAAGATAGGTTGTCATGAACACCTTGATATGAACCTAAAAAGACTTGCAAACAAGAAAGGAATGATTTCAGGTATATATAAACTTCTCCTCACCTCCTGCCAATACTAATCTGCAGTCACAGAAAAGATGGGAGCAGGATTTAGGCAGTTGAGTGGGTCGAACTCAACATCAATCTCCAAGTGTGTCCGGTTTAGAGCAATACAGTTACAAATCCTTCACAGAGCATACATCACACCCTGTAGACTCAAAAAGGTGGATCAAACACTCTCGGGCCTATGCTGGCATGGTTGTGCGGAAGTGGGTACCCTTTTACATTGTCTTTGGTCCTGTCCGGCTGTAAAATCTCTATGGGACGTAGTTGGAGATACACTCGCTGAGATCCTGAACATAGAGATACTCTTAACTCCAGCTACATGCTTGCTGGGATCCCCGCTCAATGGCATAACATCAACATTTGCAAGTAAACTTATAGCCCTAGCATGCCTTCCAACTAAACGCCTCGTTCTTATGAACTGGAAAGTCAGAAAGCCCAAACTGCTTCAATTTAAATAGATGGCTGGAGGACTTCCTAAACATCTTAAGTATGGAAGAAGCTGCTTTCTCCCTGTTATATTTGGTTAAGCCAGACAACAGGCTTTGGGATAAGATAAGGGCTTTCCTGGACGCAAACCATCTCGGCTGCCAATAATAATTATACTAATTATAATAATATTAATAAATAAAGAGAAATAAGCTATGAAGAAACAGAAAAAGAATGGTAATAATAATGAAAGAAGTTACATTAAATGGGAAATGGATGAATAGGTGAATTAATCAGAAAAGGAAGAGATGTGTATGTGTGTGTGTATATATATATGTGTGCATCTATTTATTTATTTATTTTACTATTTATTTATCTATTATACATTTTTGTTTTTGTTTTATAATAATAATGAGGAAACAATGAAGTATATCTATATTATGAAGCAAATCATGAATAAATACAACGCCATATGCATGCATAAAATGTAACTGACACTGTAATACCCCTACCCCCCACCCTTCATGTTATTGTCCTGTCCTATTTGTGATGTGTGTGAGCCATGTCCTTGTCCGTATGTTTTTGTCTTTGAAAATGTTTAATAAAATATAAATGTTAAAAAAATCTATTGTCCATTGTACGCCTGAGTATTCATATAAGCCCACTCAAGTTTCTTTGGTTTTATTCAAGTTTTAAATGAGGTTGAGGCTCACAGCAGCCCTTTACATATGGCATTTACTCTGGGTTTTACTAAAAGGATCTCATTATCTCTAAAAAGCAATAATCTTTGTTGTAATGAACTAATGATAGAAAAAAACCTTGAATTTTTTCTGATGAAAACAAGATAATGATTTTCTCCCCAAGATTATAACCTTGTGATCTCAATTTCCAATACAAAGATGTGTTGGTTGGTTATGTTGAAAAGGGAAACTTATAAGCATGTGTGTGTTTCTGTGTGTGTGTTTGTAGGAACCTATGTGACCCAGGTGACAGCCACAGATGCAGATGACCCCACGTACGGTAACAGCGCCCGCATCGTGTACAGCATCCTTCACGGCCAGCCGTACTTCTCTGTGGACCCCAAGACAGGTGAGACGTTGTAGCCCTTCTACATTACATTTTTCATGACGAACCCAGAGTTAATCAAACAGATGTGTGACTTTAGTAACCCACAGCTCACACTCCCTTCTGTCGACAAAGCAGACTCACCGGGTCATGATGCTGAGAGGGGCTCTCAGAGTGAGTCCTGCACCGGAATTCTAAAACATGTTCAGAAAGGCACGTTAATATTTTCAGTCCTTTAACAGACAACCGATCAGAAATGTTTCTGAACATGGAGTGTCATGTTGGATTTTCAACATGAGGAGCAGCATCCTGGACTAAGGCAAGAGACAAACTATACCTCTCTGCTCAGAGCGGTAGCATGTTGGAAGCAAGCCCCCAGGAAGTGAGCCGGCAGTTAAAGCAAATCTTCATAGTGGCCAAATGGTGGTACAACAACTTCCGTATCAGTCATTTAACGTCATTTGGCCCAAAAATACTATTTTTGGAAAAGACATGTCGGTAAATCATCGTATGAGTTTTCTTTTAGGTAGATCAACTACCATGAATCGAAACGTGTGTAGTCGTCATTTAAATCATTAGAGGCTAAAAGTTGTAAAAGTAGCTAAAAGCATAATCCAGAGCTATTTTCCCTCTCTATTCATTTGACTGAGCCAAGACCGGCCATGATGGAGTGGATTAGAGGGCCAAATGGCCTGTATCCATCCATCCATCCATCCATCCATCCATCCATCCATCTATCTATCCATTCTTCGTCAACCGCTTATCGGCAAAGGGGCATGGAGGTACAGTAGCAGTTCTGGAAGGGGTTCCCAAACTTCTCTTTCTCTGGCCACGTTAACCATGCTCTGTCTTGGGAATTCCAAGGTGGTCCCAGGTCAGGGTGGGGATATAATCCCTCCTGCTGGTCCTCGTTAAGTTATTTAGTATTCAACCAGAGAGGTTGACCAAGCTTTCTTCAGCTAAACACTGAACAACTCAAACTCAGCGAGTTCCAACAGTTGCGACTCTCTCAGCAGAACTGCTGGGTCCTCTGTAACAGCAGCAAGAGGAAGTTCTGATGGTCCAGGATCAGCAAATAAATGGTATAGAATAGGGGCCAGTGCCCCTATAACACTGAGCTTTGCCCATTGTGTAGAGCTTGTTAATATCATGTGTGATTGAGTTGGAGCAAAGACTGTGATTTAACTTGAGCGGCAGTTAACAAGAATGTGTTTTGTTTAGTGTTTAATTATATCGTAACATTTTAACCAAGTTACTCACAGAAATTCCAATTGTGTTTTGTTTTTTTGTACGTCATTTTTTTATACTAACCTCAAGATGTTAAAATCTCTAACCTTGTATTTTTCTTATTCGTCCCGCATTGTGCCTCTCTAATTAAATAATTATCCATAGCACGGCACCCTCGATGCACCTAAATGAAAGAATTACTTTTGTGCTAAAAAGGGTTTAAAGGATATTTCCCTTTCAAATGGATTTTCACTTGATAATATAGTTATCCTCATTTAATCAAGTTTAAAACTAGAACATGTAAAGCACCACAGGTCACCTCTCTAACAACTGAATCACAGCAGGGAATCTTTCCTCCAAACTTTACTAAGTCCTTCACCTTGCTTTAAATACTTTAAGGACACTTTCAGTTCTCTGTCCTTCATCTGTATATTTAACCGCCCTTGCCCTAATCACTTCGTTTTTTTTTACTCTTCAAATGGCTTCTCCTGATTTTTTAACTCCATGCCAGTTCATTCCTGATCAAAGGCTGCCAACAGAGAGGCAGGGGGCATTTAGGCCTAATTAGAGCTTCATTAAAGTATGAAGTACCATAACATTGTGTCCTAATGAAGGTCAGAATCCACAGTATATGTCTGTCCTTCTATATGGGAGGCCATTACCATAAGGAGTACCCGTTTCAAACCTCTCCTCTTCCTCCAGGAGTGATCAGGACTGCTCTGGCCAACATGGACCGGGAGATAAAAGGGGACTACCAGGTTCTCCTCCAGGCCAAGGACATGGGAGGTCTGCTGGGGGGGCTGGCCTCCACCACCACCATCAACGTTACCCTTGGAGACGTCAACGACAACCCGCCTCGCTTCGCTAAGAGTAAGACCGTCTCCACAATGAGGCTGATGGGTGATTGTTGGATGGATGAAAGGGCTCTTTGATTGTTGTGACTGATTAGATGATTGAACAAAATCAGACTTGATGTTCTTTCTTGAATAACCCTTAATTTATTTTTGCCCTTTTCCCCTCTCTTCTTCCATGACCTCAGGTATTTTCCACCTGCGGGTGCCAGAGTCTGCGTCCGTGGGCTCGGCAGTCGGAGGGATTCGAGCCTACGACCCGGATGCTGGTGCCAATGCAGAGGTGGATTATACCATTGTTCCAGGAGAAGAGGGCAACATGTTTGACATCATCTCTAGTGGCCAAAGTCAAGAGGGAATTGTAGTCTTGAAAAAGGTACTTTTGTCATCGACTGTTCATTAACTGCTTTTGAAACAAATACATTTACTTCACTAGCTTGCATGGTGATTCCCAAAAAATGTCCAGATCTCCAAAAACACACTGGCGCATTTAGGTGGAATCCTTTACCAAAAATGTAGAATAACGTTAATTTCCAAATAACTAATTCCATCAGTACAACAAGAGGCACATTAGCGTTTTTTAGATTAAGTAACTTTAAGAAACAGCTGTCAAATAAGGTTCCTTCCAATTGATGGTAAGGTAAGAAGAACTGAAAATGTGTAATAACCATGACAGCTTGAATACAGCTCTGTTCTAATGTGATAAAACATCTAGACATTCACCCTGGATACATGGAGAACACTCTCTTTACATCAGACAATAATGTTGCGATAATAGCAACCTGTACATCATTCAAAACACTTAGAGTGAATAATTAATATGGCATACGTAAACCCGGTTAATGTCCCGCAACATAAAGTTTCATATAATGTGTAATGCATTTTTAATACAAGTATTATTAAGTTTCTTGGTTCTTAATATTGTCGTTGATAAGTCAGACTGGCTTTGGTGGCTATGCTAACATCATCCATGTAATAACAGAGAAACTTTATTTACGTCACTATGTTGCCAAAAATGTTGTGGAGATTCTCCTGCTGAACAAAACGTGTTAAGTATCATAAACATGACTTGGCTAGAGAGTTTATTTTCTAAAATATGCCAGAATCCAGTGGCAAAATCCCATTGCTTTTTGTCAAGGGAGCCCTTGCGATGCTAACTCTCAGGTCGGCTTGGAAATACATTATCACTGCACCACTCACCTGTTTTATTGTGATTTTATTGTGATACTCACGCTGGCATTGCTGAGAAAAGCAGCTACGTAAACACTGACGTCATGACGGGCTACTATTAGTCAGTTAAGAAAGGTTCTTAAGTGGTTCCCAAAATGCTACAAAGCTAGCACCCGCACGAAACTAGAAAGCAACTTATTTCAGTGGAAAAACGGCTAAACTGTAGCCAATCTGAAAGCATAAAGCCAACATTGTTTGATGGATGTGTTGTGACTTTTCTAAATGAGTCACCAAATAGCAAACAAGAACCAAAGGCAACTTTTGCAAACACCAGCATTTGGTTATTGATTCGAGAGTGGGAGGAATGTGCTGATGTGGCTGTGATCCCATTCTTCCTCTTAACCTTCCATTTTACCAAGCTTTTCGGATAAATAACGTGTTATACATTCATGCATGCAACAGAAAACGTTCCATATTTTGCAGCCATTGTATTTTAGTGCTGATTTAAGTAGGAAGAATAGGGAAGGGAAAAGAAAGAGGAGGGAGTAGAGGGCATTAGAAGGAAAACAAATAAGGGGGGAGATCATTTGGATTTCTAAACTTGAACATAAGACACTTGCCTTAGGAGGATCACGGCAGTTTAAAAACAAAATCAGATCTCAGAGCGTTCTTTCAAAAGGAGTCATCTGAGGACTAAAGAAAACTTCGTAGTTAATGCTGCGTCCAGAGGGAAACCACGTCCATGATCACACACACACACATGTCACATCAAATCAAGCGCTTTAACATAGAGAGCAGAGGCTTTTATTTCAGACTGTCCTCTAAATCAGAGCCGACACCTCAGAGTCTGTCTGAGCACAATACTACCAGCTACTGTTCTTATTTTTTAGATCCATGAATCTGTAGTTCTCAGAACATTCTGTCTCTGCCCGTTGTTTGAGACAAAGAGGCATCTGTCAAGGTTAAGTTCATTAAAATGAGATGTGCTGAATAATATATGGGCTAAGCTAGCACACATTGCCTTAAAACAGTCGGTTCAACTTCACATTCAGTATCATTTCGTGTTAGCAAAGTGAGTGGGAATGTTTAAGGTCAGGCCTTTGGATGAGATAGTGTTCCTCTGAATGCATGATTACATTTCTGACAGGGTTGACTAGGGACTAAAGTTAAAGCTAAACGTAGGTGTTTAGCTCAGTTAAGCTGCCTTCATAGGATATTTAGCAGAACCTTACGGTGAGAACAGCTTGTTAAGATTTGCTATGGTCACCTCCCCTGCTAGCTTGCGCTGCCTCAGACAGCTGTTATCTGATTGGTTGCGCATGTCAATCGAGGTCAAAGATTAAGTCATTTGAACTTAATCTTCCAAATACCTTGTCCTGGACATAGTTTCTACAGTATAAACTGTGCAACAGTACAGTAGGCCCACACAAACTGCAGAACACTGGTGCTTTGGGAACACTCAAATAATTTAATTCCCATTTAAAATCTGGAGACTAAATACGAACGTGTGTGTGTGTGTGTGTGTGTGTGTGTGTGTGTGTGTGTGTGTGTGTGTGTGTGTGTGTGTGTGTCATACTTGCCAACCCTCCCGATTTTCGCGGGAGACTCCCGATTTCTGACAAAATCCGATTTACTCACGACTGTTTCCACTCGGACTTTAATACAGCTACACCATTGTTTGGTTTCCATGGTAGGGCGTCTCTTTAGCAGCGCGCGCAACTCAAAGTCTGAGAGGGTGAGGAAGATAGTCACAGAAAACTGAACAAGAATCGACAACTCGACCCTCTGCTCACTCCTTTCCTGTAAAATACAGGTCCAGCCCACACATATGCTCCATGGTGCTACAGGCATTGCCCTTACAACTACAATAAGCATGTAAATGTTAATCTACAGCTCCGGCGATCCACTAGCACCCGGAGTCTCCACCTGCAGACGCAGCCATCCTCATCAACTAACTACTGTAGCGTCACCTTGGATACGAGTCCAAACAACTCACAGACTGCATTGGGCGCTGAAATTACCTATATGCCCTATGACCATCAGATCTGACGACGCTGATTGGCTGAAATTATTTTTTTCTGCGGCATAGTTTACAGATAGCAACAGTCAGGCTGCTGCTGCACTGGCTGAGGGCTCCTTTCTTACCACCCGGACGAGAGAGGGTAATGATACACGCTGCGGCCAGGCAGGAAACATGTGACTTATCAGTAACTTTAGACATCGTAACACAATTTTAAACGAGATTTTATTGTAGATTATACATTTGACTGATACCAACTATATAATATTTACCTTGTTCATTAAAAATAAAAATAAAAATAATTTTTTTCTTTTTTTAAATATATATATATATATTTTTTTAATGACAATCAAACATGTGGGAAGAGGGGGGGCACTATGGGCCGGCCGACACTGGTCAGTACTATCTTAGACCTTGAAGATCAAAAGTTATTAAAAGCTTTGCTCTCCGTCAAACGCCCTCCCAGTCAAACAGGAAGTAGCTCTAACTCAAGCATATATTCTACAATATGCAAAAAATGTCTCATGAATGACAAGAGTCTAGGCCTGAAAACATCTACACGCCAATATTCACTTATCGACATATGCTACCTACTTGTAACACAAAGTGTTTTATAAATCCTTGCTAATGCTATAAAATGTAGTATTAATGTGTCCGGTACGTGTAACATCACCATATTCAACTAATTAATATTTATATATTTGCACGTTTTGTACTCCCTTATACATATCATCTGAACATTTGTGCAAGCTTCGATGCAAAGGCGTAGGGTCTTCAAAATACAACACATGCTAGTTATTTCTTTACATTATCTTTTAGTAGAGGCCGTTGAAAGGGGGGTGTTTGTGGGAAACCACAATATGTGTGTTTCCCACAGGGCTGCTGGGAGTGGATGAAAGGCGGAGTCGTGTGTGTTTGTGTGGGCTGGAGACGTGGTGGAAATGATTTAATTTTTTTTCTCCGGTAGTATGCCTGGCAATATAATAGCCTGGTGCTTGCCTTCTAGAGAATTCCTCCACTTTAAGAAGAAGCTTCTTGCTATGCAACAATAAGGCAGGATATCCTGGACTCATGCTTGAAATGCAGGAATGGAAATATGTTTATGGGATGTGGATGAGTAGTGTTCTTCGCTGGTCGCTTTTTGTCAACATGCTCTTGTACTGACAGATGGTTGGATCATTGCAATATCTTTTTTATCTGGTTAGTCAAATTAATATAGGCTTCTCCTTTGGGGGGGGGGAGGAGGTTGCTCTTTTTCAGGTTGGAGCAACAGCCCCTCAAAAGGTCATCCCTGTGGACGAATAGCGTCTTTGTCAGATCTGCTCTGTGTGTGATTTTGTGCCTCAATATTCACATGTTTTATTCAGAATTCAGGATGGCTAGCAATACTGTTATTTTGTGGAACTCACCTAATATTATTAAATAGTAATAATTGATAACCATTCAACTTTTCTCATAAATCCTAGTACACGATGTAATGTGTGAAATTATGCCACATGTATCATATATTTTCAGAAATCTAACTTTTATTACAGATATTACTGTTAAAAGGAAGGGGTTATCTTTTCAATCTAAATGTGAATTCAAATGGTTATGACATCCACATTATACTATATATGTAGCACATTTAGTAAATAATGATTTAACAGAATGAGGTTAAAGTGTTTATCTTTATTAAATAGCACAAGCAGCACATCAGCACCAGCTTGCTTTAGTCCTCCATTTGTGTCACAGGATTCGTTCAGGCACAGTATTGAGTGTAGCTCACCCACACAATAATTTTTGGTTACATGCATACAGCTGAATAAAAGAAACTTAAAAGAAACGGTAAAGTATGAGTAAGACAGAAGGCATTAACAGCTGCATTCTGTTTGTGTTCCTGCAGACTCTTGACTATGAAACCAAGAAGTCGTACACCTTCAAGGTGGAGGCGTCCAACGCTCAGCTGGACCCCCGTTTCCTCCACCTGGGGCCCTTCAGGGACTCTGCGACAGTGAAGGTGAGCGTCCTGGACGTGGACGAGCCCCCTGTGTTCGTCCAGCCGTCCTACTCTCTGGAGGCGTACGAGGACACGCCCCCAGGGACCATCGTCGGCTCGGTGACGGCGCAGGACCTGGACGCCAGCAGCAGCGCCGTCAGGTAGAACACAAGTACACAAGAAAACATAAACATGGCTACATTAAGAGGATTTACATTCAGTATTATGAGAAGCAGGCCAATCAATTGAAAACATTTATTGATTTAATCGCAATAATAATCTATGATTGATCATGATTAATCACAAGTTTAAATATTAGTATTTACTTTTATTCTTTCAAAACATAGTTACAAAGTGCTTTCACATAAAACCGAACAACGGTAAAATCATAGACTGGTATAAATACACGAAGAGCAATTTACCTCAAACTGAACTGTACTACAGTAAACAACAGCATCTAAACATAAAAAGACAGAACAGATACATTATTCAACAAAAAACAATACTTCCATAATACTAAATAATATAAAAATGAAATAAGATCACATATAAGCAATTTTAGAAAAAAGTTAGTTTTTATTAGTAATGTCTGGTGTGCTGTTAATCTTAAAGTAAACAAAATGTTCAACCTGATTTAAAATATTAAAATATACAACAGTGATATAATGAGTGTCTTTGTGCAATCACAATCACTTCTAACGCACACATTGAGAAGTCAAATCAGACAATTATGCGACGACACAGTCTCATCACAGGGTTTGAAAAGTCTGGAAAGTACTCACTCACAGTACTAACATGTATTAATCCTTGAGAACTTTGTCTACTGAATGCTTTTATGATCAAAGGCTCCTGAACTCTTACTAAATGACAGAGACATGTGAAAATCAATTGACTTTGTTGGGGGATCATTTAGTGGACTGTCTACAAATGTTGCAGATTTGTTCAAGGACAGTTCTTCAGTGTGGGTCACCCACGTTCAGAGACCAATACACAACCAGTGTAACCGGTGTGTAAGAGGAAAACACACCTGGAGCCTTTAGGAATGCCTTGGTTTGCAATTATATTGTATTCCTCAGGTAAAAGTTGAGGTAAAATGTGGGTCAGTTACGGGAGTTAGTACTGCAGATACAGGCACCAAAATGTCCACATTCATCCCTTTGGGGTCATTTATTTTAAAAAGCTCGTCAGGCACTGAATTTCCAGCGTAGGAAACAGGATTTTACCACCTGATTTTAAACACTGGATCAATTTTGGTGATTTTCCTATTGAGTTATATGTTTTAGACTATGGGGAAGTCAAATGTACACTTGTGAAACTTCTTCAGAGCTTTTTTGTATCATTTTAAACACCAAAGGGAAAAAGGAAAACTAAAACACTGGATTATTGCAAAATTGTTTGTTTGTTTGTAGCCTTTATTTATCCAGGTTAAAAATCCCATTGAGATCAACGATCTCTTTTACAAGGGAGACCTGCGGTACATATATATATATATATTATGACGGTTTTTAAACTCCAACAGGAACTATATTCTTATTACCATGTTTAATAGAAACATTAGATAACATTGACACAGTATGATGTATTCACTGCAGTAAAGAAACAGTAAATTGCTTAAAAGACAAATTGAGTGCACCATCTTCTAATATGTCCTGATATATTCATTTATCTGCAGCACTAAGTTGCAAACCGAAGCACAGAACAGCCTATTCGTCAATGTGTTGCTTAAACTGACTGTGCCCGACTGCAGGAGTGAGAGCATTTCTCTAATGTTGGCCCGTAATTCCTCTCCTGTTTCCCTTCCATGTTTCCTCTCCCCTCTGCAGGTATTCCTTGGAGTGGCAGACAGAGTCCGACAGCTGTTTTGACATTGACACTGTTGAAGGAACCATTTCCACCAATGACTTTCTGGACAGAGAGACAGCAGATCAGCACATTATCACTGTTGTGGCAACCAAAGTCAGTAAGTATTCCACGATGCACACAACCTGTATCTGACACAGGGGACAAACAGCCCGGAGCTCATCGTCCACAGAGGAATCAATGTGTTGTGTGACATCACATTGCTAACTTTTTTGCTATAGCCGCACAATGTACCCTGGACTTCTCCATATGGGCTGGATAGAGGTTCACCTCCTATATTAGCGGTTGTATTCTTTAAAAAAAAATCTGAAATACACGTAGAGTCAGGACTTTTACATTCATACTCTGTGGAATTTGTTGTGCTTTTTGGGTTTTTCCCTCTCCTCTAGTGTGTTCTATAGGTTTTTGTGCATGTAAATGGTCTGCAAAGGCTAACATCCCTGTTTTCCCTCCAGAGGGAGTTTCTCTCCCACACATTTATCAAAAGTCTGATTTGCAGCAGTAGAGTAATGTGGGATTTCATATGTCTGTGTCTGTCACTCATACTCAGACTTGTACATGAAAGGAAAGGTTTAACCCATTTGTTAAGGCTTGAAACATTAAAACATTTGACATATTATTGCTAACCTGACCAGTGTCGGATCTGTTCTATTGTCACACAATCCAAATCAATTCAAAACATTATTGGGAATAACAGTAGTGAGAGTCCACAACACACACATTTTTGAACTACATTTAGGCCCCTTGCATTACAGTGGCATTTTTTCCTTTTGAACTTTTGTAAACGTACACTATATGCTCTGTAATAGTCGTTGACAGAGCAAGGGATCTACTTTAAATATTATATTATCGGGGCATGATGGAAAACACACCTTCTGGACTGGATTCAATCATTTAGCATCATTTAGGTACTGTATTGTTGAAATCACCCTAATCCCTTTGAGAAATAAATGCAGTCTAAACGAGGCTTAATACTGAGATGTAACAGTAAACCCCAACAAATTAAGTTATCTTCCGTTGTAAAACAACATTCTGACAGTAATCAAAAGGTTTTAGATCATTTTGATGTCATAGTCTGGCTTGTTGAACTCATATTGTTACCTTGTTGCACATTGAGACTGCTGTCCTGTTCAATTAATAGGATTTTGAACACTATCGAATACAGTAGATAGTTACAGTGGTTCTTCTTGAGTGTGTATTCTTGTCTCACAGTTGCTCTGCTCATCGCTCACAGACACACACACACACACACTCTGGAATCATAGCCACATGTCCCTTCATCTGAGTCCAAACTGTGATTCTGCACTGTTAATGTTAATGTCCACATGTTAAAGGGTTGTTGAGCAACGCATTCAATGGTGATATAAATATTGTGATCTCCCCACATCACAGCCTCTCCAGCCATCATCACATTTAAAACAACATTTAAAAACGATTCTAATCAGAAACATCTGCAGATAAAGAAATGACAAGTTATTTGAAGTTTGGCATGTTAAAGCCATTTATACAGTTGAATAATGTTTTTATGTTGTTATAATAATACGTGCACTATTAAGACTATCTTTATTATTAGTATCTGATACACTGAACTCAGCTGTATGTCTGTACAGGCGGCTTTAATGTAATGTCTGGTTAGTATCTGGCTCCATCTGGTGGCCGGAGGTTGTTCAGTAAGCTACTGCTGGAACAGATCGGTTTAGAAGTAAAAAATTGAAAAAGATATAAATAAATATTACTTCAATTATGTAACATATAAAACATTTTCTACATCCTCTTATGTAAAGTGTGTTGTCAGGAAAAACTAGTGAGTGGACCAAACCATTTAATAATTTATATTAGAAAACAAATTAAAAACATCAAAGCTGTTTCAAAATGTGGATGTCCAGAGAAACAAATCCACATGTCCACTTTCAAAAGTTAACATACTCATAATTGAGGGAGAATGTTATTTTGTTATATTATCACATACTATAGAATATCACTCTGATCTCTGCTTACACTAATAACATGTACTGTAAGCAGAAATGTGATGTAGCTAGTTGTGAAGTAGCAAACTTCAAGTATTTTAAGGTATTTGATGATACAATTATGCTTGATGTTTTATGGTGTCATTATATAGGAGGTTTTCAAAATATTAATTTGCAAAGGAACTTTGGCTTCAACGGTCGAATAAATGTTGAGGAGCAGAGGTAGAATGTAGACACTGCACAGTGCAGCAAGGGAATTATACCTGCTAAAACAAAAACAATAATTAACACATTTATTCTTCTGAGTGAAATAATAATGTGCTTTATATGAGTAAGGCATTTATGTTATATGACTTCCTGTCATCATCTTTACACACACACACACACACACACACACACACACACACACACACACACACACACACACACACACACACACACACACACACACACACACACACACACACACACACTTAATGTCTCTAAGTCCTCTCTGTAGCGTTAACTTGTGAATGAATGTGTGTCACTGACTGTATGCTTCCTGCCCTCACAGGTAACCCCACGCTGTCCACTAAAGCCCCGGTGACAGTGGACGTACTGGACGTGAACGAGTTCCCCCCCGAGCTGGCCCCCCCCTCACAGACATTTGTGTGTGAAGACTCCAGAGTGGGACAGGTAAACTGCTGATAGTATGTGAAGAAAAGGAGAAACACGTGTGTTACTTAAACCTTTTTGATATCTGAGTTAGGTCGTGTTATCTACTATGAGTCATTCAAACTGGGTGTGCATAACTGAATTCCAGTGGTGGGAAGTAGTGGAGTACAAATACTTTGTTACTGTACTTAAGTACATTTTTCTGGTATCAGTACTTTACTCCACTACTTATTTTTCTGACAACTTTTTACTTTTACTTCTTACATTTTCAACACAAATACCTGTACTTTCTACTTCTTACATTTTCAAAAGAGGCTGGTTACTTTAGTTTTAATCTGTGTTTGGTGGCGTGATAATTATTATTTAGAGTCATTGCGTGCCTATTGATTTTAACATGATCCGTGTATCCATCATTTCCTGGTCTTCTCTAAAGAAGAGGGACCAATGAAAACGTTGTAATTTTGCCGTTGTTCAGCATCGAAACATTCATTAGCTAACAATGACATTATTATTTTATTAATATAAAGTGAGGTCAGGTACTCTTTAAAACATTTGGTAGTTATGGGTACTTTCTACTTAAGTACATTTCGAAGCCCATACTTCTTTACTTTTACTTGAGTAAAGAAGTTTAGTCAGTACTTCTACTTTTAGCAGAGTATTTTGAAACACGAGTATCTGTACTTCTACTTGAGTAAAGGATGTGTGTACTTTTGCCATCTCTGCTGAATTCTATATGAAAACTTGACACCATCACCATGCCCCTGTGCGCTGAGTGTGATGCAGCATGTTGTGTGTGAGCAGGTGATCCAGACGCTGAGCGCCCTGGACAGAGACCGCCCCCCCGTGGGACAGAGGTTCTTCTTCAAGGCCCCCAAAGAGCTGCGCAACAGGAACTTCACTGTGCGGGACTTTGGAAGTAAGTAAGAAGGGGATTAATGTTAAATAGAGTCATATATATCACTCTTTTAAGCACTTTACATTACAAGTCAGCATTCACCAGGGTTGGGAGGGTCACCTTAAAAATGTAATCCGTTACAATGACTAGTTAGCTAGTCACCAGTGACCTAATGTATGTATTACTATTTATAAGTAATGTAACCTGATTACTTCAAGTTACTTTTGTATCACCACAGTATCAAATATGTGTGTAAAAAAATTAGGCCTGCCGAATAGTATGGTTTATACTTGTCGCCAATGTTAATTTTAGATTTGTATTATATTTGAAAAAATTTAGATCACTCCAAATTTGTCTTAAATCTTAATCTCTACATTTATGGCAGCCATTCCATTCCAGTATCTGTTGAATTCCAGCACAGAAAAATCACTAGTTTATCGAACAAAATGAAAGGGGACCAATCATGCAAAATGCACTTTGTCATGTCTTTTATACATAAATATGTGTCCCCGGTGCGTCGGGGAACTCACGCAGCGTCAGAAAATAAAACCCTCTCTCTTTTCCTCCTTACCCAAATCTTTTAAAAACGGGGGTACAACGAGCGGATACAGATTTGCCCACAGAAAGTTGCTATCAGAAACAATGCCTGACGTGTTTTGGACGTAATCTCGTCTTTGTTTACATTAGCAAGCCTCGCTAACACTCAGAGCTAACCAGAGGCCTGTACTACGAAGCCGGATTTTCCTAACCGGGATATGTTTGAGTTAGCCGGTTGGCCTAATCCAAAACATACGCGCTCTGGCTAAACTGTACTACGACGCTGGTTATCAAGTGGATCGCTCAAGCCAGCCGTGTCCTATCTAGTTAGGTGCGCGTTCACATGAAAGGGGTGGTATTTGGAGCATTCGACCAATCTCAAACATGGACAAGCGTACTGACAGCGCAGCGTCATACTTCCTGAATGAAAAGTGAACTTTAATATTAGTCAAATATGAAGAAGTTAAACTTTAAACATCCATGACTTAAACACTTTATCCAGGATAAAAGCCACATAGCTGCACAGCAAGGTGAATACAGCTGGTAACAGAAAAAGCGTTTGAATGCATACATTAACAGGTTTATGATATCACTGCTGCCCCGTCTAAGACACGAGTGGATCTGACTTTAATTACATTTGACTCGAGTGTTTCATCAACTTAATGTGTTGCTTAAAATAATACTTCTGCATACAGTATGTGACACTGTGAGTGTTGCACGGCCAGATACGGCTCAAGAAGCTGACTCAGATAAGGAAATATATGATACATTATGATGTGATATGATATGAATGATAATGAGACACATCGACGTCTGCACTCACAGTGCCGCGGACTGTACATAATGTTACTCTGATCCGGTTACTTATGTTGTGACAGATATTTAAGTAAGCTTTCTTAACGCTAATGTTATAATAGTCAGATTGCTCTGAAGATGGGAGGGGATATTCTATTAATTTTCACGTTCACACAGTCAGTTGATTTTTGCCGGCCGTCTTTCCTGCAACGGCAGTTTTTCTGTATTTCCTCTATCCTGTAATATGACTTGATCGCTTTAAACTCCGCACACGGAGCTCTGATTGGTCAGCAGGCGGTGCTTTCACTGAGTTGATCTCTTAGCCTGCAACCTAACCTCCTCCCGAGGAGGTTAGCCGCTCAGCATAAGTTACCATGGAGATCTAGCCCGCTAAAAAGAGAACCAGCGTCGTAGGATCGGAAAGCCCGAGTTTTCCCTGAAGTCAGCCGGCTAAGCGAAAATCCGGCTTCGTAGTACAGGCCTCTGTACTGTGTAGAGCACATGTGTTTAAAAAGCAGGAAATAAAAAAATAACTCACCTTGTGATAAACCTGCAAGAGAAAAAGCATTTGAGCTCCATACTATTTCAGAAATAATCCTTGACGTGGTTTAAACAGGATAGCGTTTTATCACAAACAAATGTAACTGTATCTCCGGTAGAATTCTGATCAGGCATTAGCTCCGCCTCCTCTTCTTTCTTTTTTTCAAGCTAAGGACCCGAAATCTGAGTTTCTCTAACAGGGCTTCAAAAGAGGGGTTTGAGCAGTATGAGGGATGACTACAATGGGTGATCTGTTCCACTTTAAATTAAAATTAATTTGACTTAAACACATACCTATAAATAGAAAAACCAGAGAAACTGATAATGCTGCAGTGGTCTCTTAAAGTGGACCGATCATGCTATATTTTAATAATATAGTGTAGGACCATTCCTATGTAAGGCATATTTATACTTTTTTTTTCTCCAAAATACCAAACAGATCATGCATTTTAGCCATGCCTCATTTCGCTCAATTTGCACTTTTTTAGCCCTGTTTTTGCAAGGGTTGATTCTGTGAGAACAGCATCACCTACAGGCCTGGCATATGTACTACAGCGTCTCCAGCGCTTTCGAACGGCAATGGCCGTGGCTGTCTCCTCCTGATTGGTGGAGTTGGCCCAATAGCCGTAGCGCCACTGTCCTGACGTCAGGACAGTGTTCAAATCTGGATCAGTTTTGATCAGATCCGTTGCAGCCCCTTTTTTAGAGATTTGGGTATGGAGGAAAATAGAGAGGGTTGTGTTTTCTGACACTTGGTGAGTTCCCTGGAACACCGGGGACACATATTCATGTGTAAAAGACGTACAAAAGTGCATTTTGCATGATAGGTCCCCTTTAAGTTTCACCTATAATATGTCGATATTTTTTAAATAATGTATTGTAACAATGCAATCCCGTTAGTAATCCCTTTTTTTTTTTTTAAGTTACCAGTAATGTGATAACGTCTTTTTTTTATGTAACTGTATCCTTTTTTTTGTATCCTGATAACGTAATCCAGTTACATGTAATCCATTACTCCCTGACCCTGTGCGTTGTGTTTAATAAATGAGATTTCCAGTTTCAAGGCGGTCCTGGGCCTTGTTCATTTTGTAGTGTATAATCCCCCAGTAGTTTATTTAATGGAATTCATTTTTTTCAATGTTATCTTTCTGTGAAATGGCAGCTCATATCCTCCGTGTGCTGCTTTTTCAATGTCATGGTACCAGAGATGTTATTGCAGAAACAAAATGAAAACACTTGGTGATCTTTAACGTTTCCCCCATGCCCACTGAATGTGTTTCTTTTGCTTTGGCGCTGACATTTCCTGATGCCCTTCAACACCTCACCAACAGGCACTGCTACATTTCTGATGTTTTTGTGTGTTTGTACTTATACAGTCAGCATCACATCTGATAGAGTCAGCATCACACCAGCCTGCAGCCACCACGGGAACTGGAGCGTGTGTGTGTGTGTGTGTGTGTGTGTGTGTGTGTGTGTGTGTGTGTGTGTGTGTGTGTGTGTGTGTGTGTGTGTGTGTGTGTGTGTGTGTGTGTGTGTGTGTGTGTGTGTGTGTGTGTGTGTGTGTGTGTGTGTGTGTGTGTGTGTGTGTGTGTGTGTGTGTGTGTGTGTGTGTGTCAGGAACAAGGTGCCTTAATGGTCTCTACCTTGTCAGGCTGCATCTCCGTACAGCAGGGTGCAGAATGTATCTTTTCTGACACACACACACACACACACACACACACACACACACACACACACACACACACACACACACACACACACACACACGCACACAAGGGGTAGCAAGTACAAAGTAAGGAACAGAGGAGGAGAGGCACAACATGTCTACGTACATGCACTCCCTTAGGATAGGGTGAGGGAAAAGAGTAGGAACTAAGATGTATGCTCCACATCTATACCATGAGCGCATTGCTCCTAAAAAGTTTTTCTGACACTGACACCAATCAACAGTTGTGACTCGACTCGGCAGGGATCAAGGCACGTGTATGCCTCTCCCTGTTTCCACCCATTTTGCTTCTCCTGGTGTTCTCTTCCAGAGTTCGTCAGATCTGGTGTGACAGTAAAACTAAATGTAACATTCCCGTCTGTTGGTTTCCAGACAACACGGCTGGCATCGTGACTCGACGCTCGGGCTTCCAGCGGCGGCTGCAGGAGGTTTATGTTCTTCCTGTGGTGGTGGAGGACAGCGGGTACCCTGCCCAGAGCAGCACCTCCACCCTCACCATCAGAGTGTGTTCCTGCGGGGCGGGGGGCTCGCTGCTCGCCTGCTCCGCCGAGGCCGTCTTCCTGCCTGCGGGTCTCAGCACCGGAGCTCTGATGGCCGTTCTGTTGTGTGTGGCTCTGCTGATCGGTAGGCTGAATTTATTCATTTACGTCATCAAAATGTAACACTGTCCATGTTGCTTAAACCACATTTGACCATTTATTGCCAGCCCAGGATCAGTCTCTGATTATGATGAGATCTATAATGTATTTATTTTAGGTCACTCATATTTTGGTTGTTGTTGCTGACTGCTATGCTCATTAATCTAAGTGTTGTGTGTGCAAAATACCTATATTTACAGAAGCATTACTGTATAATCTACTATCAAAATGTGTTCTCTAGTACATTGTTTATGTGGATGTTTCACATGAAGATACTTATTTCAGTCATATTCAGGGTGCAGGGCTTTTTTCTTATGTCTCTGTTTCGCAACAACAAGTTCAAAGTTAAAGCACTCCAGAGGAAATTGCATGGTTTTCAAGCCAATCACTTGTATTCTGTTTTCACCAAGAGTCTTGTATTATTTTGCCTTTGCACTTTGTTTCTTATATTTAGTTGTTTTTGTATTTATGTTTCGAGTTCATTTGAGTCCGAGTAATGTGTCACGATCCTGACACAGAGTTGAAATTGTCATGTCGCGGATTTACGCCCATATTGGAGGTTGTCGTTTCTTCTGTATTATGAGCGGCCCTCAACTTGGTCTTTCTGCAGACCCGCACTCCTATATTCAGGTTGTCAACTACTTTTTCCCTAGAGCAACTGCAGTTGTCCTCTTTTCTTTCAACCAACAATTTTCTGAGACAGTTCAGGAGAATCCTCTTTCTCCTGTTCTTGCTGTGGTTTTCTACACTTGTAAGGCTGCATCATTTCTGAATTAACCTGACTTTGAATCATATTCTATTGTCCACTTTGCCTTTTTTTAGCTCCAGACTTCTTGATTTGCCTGATTTAAAAGCCTGTCCCATGTGATGAGTTTCTCCAAGCCGCCCAGCATCAGAGTTAAAATGGCCTGTGAAGGCCCATGTTGGTGATTGTCGTTCCTTCTGCATTATAATCTGTCTTCAACTTGGTCTTTCTGCAGAATTGAACAGAAGAGCAATGGCTACAATGAGCAGGGCACTAATATTGTTCACCCGTTGATAAACCACAACTCTAGTCTTCTTATCTGTTGAGTTATCCCCGACAGCGAACCTAATTTGGATATTTTCAAAGTAGCCCTGCAAGGTTTGTCCAATTTCCTCTGGCAGGTAGTATCTCCGCTTTGATGTGGTGATTTAGGTGAGATAGAAACATTTACATTTGTGATGACCCTGCCTGTGTCTTTCTAATGAAGTCTTCTGATCAGGTTCTGACGAGTCAAACTCAGCCTCTGGTGCCAAAGAGTTCTTCTCTCGCAATGCTTTGGCACTTACGGCCCTACACACGGCGGCGTGCGTTGACGCTTGGCGGTGGGCGTGTCTTGAGCTTGGGGAGTTTACGCGAGCAACGCAACCAACAACCAATCACATGAATCTCATGTTATTATATAATTACATGTCACACTTTATATGATGAACATTTATGACATTAATGTCTATGGTGCTATTTTACGCAACATTCCATGCTGGCTAAATATACTGTCTATCCCTCCTAGCTGTCCATTCAAACGAAGTACACTGGATATAAACTCCTCAAACATGCGAAAACCTACCAGTTTCACCCACTGTCTCTGCCACCTCCCTCCATGCCTGGCTCCTCCGGTTTGTATCACAAAAGGCACTTCAGGGGCCCCCTCTTCCTCCTGGTCCTGCTCCTCTACACTTCTTAGGCTGCATAACTTCTGTCGTAATGTTCCACGCAACTCTGTTCCTTCCTGCTTCTTTTACATTTTGGGGTTTACTGCTGCCATCACTTTCTCCTGTCAACGTGAGCACTTAAGAATATAGTTAATATGTATTAGAAGTTTCACGTTCTTTATATGGGCCTCAAATCTTTACAGCCCTAAGGTGTGAGCTTCTTTTCCATAGGCCCAGCTTGAGTTGTTCACAGTACCATATCCAGGTCATTGACCTCACTTTCATTTCCCCTCTGGCCACCTATTGTAGCCGTTCATGTTCCCCTTTTGTGCTGTTGGACACTTCTAAAACTTTGGTTTGATTTCTGGTTTTTCTTCCCTCTCAACAAGGGTTTGCCATGTGCGTGTTGCCTGTATTTGTGTGAAAAGTTATTTTCATCTTAATGTACATTTCTAAAATTCCCTAAAAGATTCACATCTTTAAATTAAATCAGCCACTCAACACATATTGTATGCAGTGTGTTGTGACTGTATGTTATTAACTTACCCTGCAGTGTTATTAGGGTTAGGGTCTAAACATTTCTTTATGAGGGCACAATTAATATTCTTTAATCCAGATCATACTTTTTAACCTGATAAAATACAACATTAAGGTGGCTTGCAGCTGATAATGAGGAGAGGCAATTTTAGTGAGTAAATGCACATGATGTAACACTAGAGGGGGCCAACCACCAATCACAAGCCTCCAATTATCACAGTGAGGTGTGGAATTACACTCAATTACTTGATTCTCGCCCCTACTATTACTGTTTCATTTTCCATTTCTGCCATTGTTATGGGAAATTGTAGTTACATAACAACCTGCTCAACCACAGTGAAAACACACAGAGCCACGTGTGCACATCTCTCATTGTGTGTGTCTGAGGCGTAGGCTCCACGAGGACGAAAACGGGTTGAATCCGCATATTTCTCATGCGTATAGCCCTTTAAGCTCGACGACGCCGTAACAGAAACGTAGAAACAGGCCCCGCAAACGACAACGGGTCCAAAGGTGGATAGATCTGGGAACGGAGCGCTCTGGGGGGTCCAACGGGGCCGTGGAGTCGCCTATACGGTCATGCGTTTCATAGCCCCGCCTCTCCCCACCTCTCCCCACCTCTGCTGCTCACCCCCGCAAAAGTACACTGCACACTGAATTCAGATTATTTATCTTTATCTCGATATGAACATAAACGCGAGTGAAGTCTAATCTGACAGGACGGAGACACGCAGCTCCTCCGGCTGTGAAGCAGCGAGAGCAAAACACACACTTCAAGTCAGATCATCACCCTTAGCTATTTTAATTACCTCTCAAACTACCTAAACTAGTTATAAATATGTTCATTTTTACTGTCGGGTTTACTTACTGGATCAGCTGCTGCATGAGGAAGCATGAAGATTTAAACTTTAACACACATTGACCGGCGAAAAACTCTGCGCGGTTCCCTCGGCCCCCACCGCGGAGAATAAACAGAAGTGCAGCCATGACAACCATTCTTCTTCGCTGCTTTTGTGGAGGAAGTTGCTGCTTTTGTGGAGGAAGTTACAGCGCCACGTACAGGTTCGGCATATGTACTGCAGCTTTTCCAGCGGTTGGATGTAAACGGAGCCGTCTCGTGGAGCTTGACACAATCCGGTGTATATTGCGTGTGGTCGGAAGGTTTTTTGCGGTTGCGTTTGCGTTACTCCGATGCGTTTTGCCGTATTTGTCCTCGTGGAGCCGGGGCCTGAATGTGTGTGTGCATTTATAGCGTGTGTTACAGTTCTTTATTCTGCTCGCACAACTGATTCACTGTGTGTGTGTGTGTGTGTGTGTGTGTGTGTGTGTGTGTGTGTGTGTGTGTGTGTGTGTGTGTGTGTGTGTGTGTGTGTGTGTGTGTGTGTGTGTGTGTGTGTGTGTGTGTGTGTGTGTGTGTGTGTGTGTGTGTGTGTGTGTGTGTGTGTACTGACTGATAGCATGTCAGTAAAGAATCACACCCCCTCCCCTTGAGGACATCCTGCTTTCTTTATTGGTGTCCTTTGTATTCAGGCAGGAAGGCTGAAAAGGGGCAAGGAGGATGGGCTAATAGCTGCTAACACATAACATCCACCTTTCTCTCCTGCCTGACCGAGAGACATTTCCTCATATTAATCAGGATGGCAATAGAGTGGTGCCGTAATGAGTCCTAAAACCCGGAACTGATTTAGCATTTTTTCACTTACGATTTGTGGTTAGAAGCCAAAAATGAAGTCTTTGGTTAACACAAGCTGAAGAGATTTTCAAGTTTACGAAATATTAAACATCAGTAAATGCTTCACTCATGATATCTGAAGCTTCTATGTGTCATAAAAACAGCCTTTACTAACAAGTGACTAAATAAACTACTAAATGTCATCACACTGACACGAGTCCACCTTTAGCTTAGTGGTGGTGCAACCTTGATTTAGTTGGTTTATAGCGTTATGCTTTTTATTTACGCAGAATGAGTTAACGCTTCAAACAAGTGCTGTTGATATGTGGAGATTATCCTGCTGAACAAAAGCTTATTTTCTGCAATATACCGAGCCCTTGTGATACTACCCTCCGGGTCTGCCTTCAAAATACATAATCACTGCACCACTCTATAAAGCAGCATGTATAATTACCCTAATGTGTGCCTTAAATTAGTATTGTCATAGCAGGTTCCATGGAAAAGATACAAAGGAACACGGAAAATAAAATACAAATGTATTTTATAAAGCTTTATGTCTGCCTGGGGAAAGGCATCTCCTGTTGTTTTATTAACCTCATGTTCGCTTTCGTTACCTTCAGGACAGAAAACCCAAGAGCAGGCTGAGGAGAATGTGTGGGAGAGAAACTCCCTCTGGAGGGAACACAGTAGGCTCATCTCAATTGAATATTTCACCTCCTCCTTTCCCTCACTCGCGTCTCTTCCTTGCGTCTTAGCTCCGCCTCCGTAAGATGCGAGCGAGAGACTCGAGGACAGAGGAGTCCTCAGGTATTAATTGGGACGTCCTCGTTCACTCAAACGTCACTCTTAAACGACGTCTGTTAATGATGACATGTGCACAGCTGTATCCCCTCTCATCGGGCTTAACTGAATAACCTTTAGAACCGGCCCATTTGTTGTTAAATATTTATTTAAATGATGAATCTTTCTGTTGTTAGTCAAGGAATTCAATGTATGATGGTTGGTCCTGCTTTTGTGTTCCGTTTTGGTGTAAAATGCACATTTAAATAAAAATATAATTATAGTAATGTGAAAGCCTTTACTCTGAAAATGTGTCCTGTAGA